TTTTTTTTTGAGACGGGATCTCGCTCTGTCACTCACGCTGGAGTGCAGTGGCGTGATCTCGGCTCACTGCAACCTCTGCCTCCCGGGTTCCAGTGATTCTCCTGCCTCAGCCTCCTGAGTAGCTGGGACTACAGGTGTGAGCCACCACGCCTGGCTAATTTTTTTATTTTTCAGTAGAGACAGGGTTTCACCATATGGCCAGGCTGGTCTCGAACTCCTGGACCTCGTGATCCACCCACCTCAGCCTCCCAAAGTGCTGGGATTACAGGCATGAGCCACTGTGCTTGGCGGGACTTGTATTTTCTTTCTTTTTTCTTTTTTTAAAAAAAGATGGGGTTTCACCATGATGGCCAGGCTGGTCTTGAACTCCTGACCTCAGGTGATCCACCCACCTCGGCCTCCCAACGTGCTAGGATTATAGGCTTGAGCCACTGCGCCTGGCCGGGACTTGTATTTTCAAAGGCTGCAGGTGGAGCTGGATGGGAGAAGGCCATGTCCAGGTCCTAATCGCTCAGGGCCTTTTAGGCTCACTGGGGACTTCCCCTTTTCCCTTCATTAGTGCACAGCCTCACAGAGTGTGGCTGCTCCTAGGGCCCAGCTGAGCCCGAGGGGTTCAGGCAGAAAGGGGGTTTCTTGAAAGCCCTGGGATGCCCCAGCAGCTCACCGCTTACAGAGCCCCAGGGCTCAAGGCTCAGCTCTCCTCTTTAGATGGGTAGGGCAGGGGCACTAGCCCCGGTTAGATGACAGCTGAGACCAGGAGCTGCTGGTGGAGACATAAGGTGGTGATCTGTGCCCTCGCCTGCTATAAGGGGCTTCTCCTGACTCCACCAGGCCCTTCCTTTCTCAGAGCCTCTGCCTGGATGGTAACCACTTCCCCAGTGGACACAGGCCCTGCCCCCAGGCCCCGATGGCAGGTGACCTGACAGACACAAAAGGTCGACAGGGGCTGGTGATTAAAAAGGAGTGAGACCCCACGGCCTGTGACAGAAGCAGGGGCCTAGCAGGAAAAGGACAGGCCTAGGCAGAGCCTCCAGCCTTCTAAGGGGGAGAGGTGAGCCCTGGGGCCTGGGGCTCCCTAAGCTGTGAGTTGCTGAGGCTTCCCAAGAAACCCCCTTTCTGTCCCAGGTGAGGGCCACCTGAACCACTCAGGCTCAGCTGGGCTGTGGAGCAGCTAGGCTCTGTGAAGCTTTGCACAAAGGAAGGGAAAAGGGGAAGTCTCCAGTGAACTTGAAAGGTGCTGAGCGATTAGGACCTGGACCAGGAGTGGGAGACAGACCCAGAGAGGAGGGACAGTCTGCCCAAGGTCACACAGCAAGCCAGTGGTGACCACACCTGCTGGATCAGCCTCTCTAAAACACCATTTCTGTACCTGTCAGCGCCACGAGGCAGGGACGCTTGTCTGGTTCACCAGCATATCACTGACATTTAGAATATCACCTGGTCCATGGAAGTTGCTCAATAAACATTAGTTGAATGAGTCCATCTGTAAATGAGTTGATTCACTGCTACTGCTCAGGGTGGTTGTGTGGCTCAGATGGCACTGGGTGGTGCCAGGCCCCTAGAAGGTACTCAGCAGCCAGGAGCTGTTCTGGGTTTGTCCTGACTCCTGGCCCAGGTTCCCCTTTCCTCTCCTCCCCTCTTCTGCCTCCCCTCCTTTTTTTTTTTTTTTTTTTTTAGATGGAGTCTTGCTTTGTCACCCAGGCTGGAGTGCAATGGCATGATATTGGCTCACTGCAACCTCCACCTCCCTGGCTCAAACAATTCTCCTGTCTCAGCCTCCTGAGTAGCTGGGATTACAGGCATGTGCCACCACGCCCAGCTAATTTTTGTACTTTTAGTAGAGACAGGGTTTCACCACGTTGGTCAGGCTGGTCTTGAACTCCTAACCTCAGGTGATCCACCTGCCTCAGCCTCCCAAAGTGCTGGGATTACAGGCGTGAGCCACTGTGTCCAGCCACTGGTACTTTCCAACCCCACCTGTCTTGTCTAGTTGGGTATAGGGGAGGCTTCGGGGGAAGGAGGCACCTGGTGAAGTTGATAAAATCTCTGGGCTAACTGGTTTTTCAGCTTACTATAACTGGCAGCACTCAGGGCCCAAGGAGCTTCCCCACTCTCCAGCCTGGAAGCTCAAGCCTCAGGGTCCCAGCTGAGCCCTGGCTCCACCACTCTGCCTCCCACAGCACTGCCCAGCTGCTCAGGCCCTGTGGCAGCCAGAAATAGACATGAGGGAAGCAGAGTGAGCTCCTGGGCTCCAGGACCCTCCTGGGAGGGTGGCCACCAGCCTTAAGGGCCATCTACTCTTTGCCCCTTCTCAATCTGGCCTAATTGGGGGTCTGGACTCCTTGTTCCCCTCCGTTAGCCACTGGAGCTCCTGCCCAGGAGGGCCAACCCTCCCAACTGAATCTCCCTGAGACCTAGGGCCTCAACATCCCCAGTCCAGCTCCTGCCAGCCCCATGCCTCCCAACTGAGAGATCCCTTTTCTATAGGGGCTCAGAGGGAGGGTCACATGTGGCAGAAGCCCCTACTGTCACTGTGACAACTCCTTTGCTTCTGGGAAGACTTGGCCCCATGAACAGGATAGACGGGGAAGTGGGGGGACGTGCAGGACATTCCTGCAATCTCGAGTCCTTTCTATTTTAAGACCCCAAGCCATAGCCCGGGAATTAGCTGGGCTCCCCTGAGGCTGTCCAGCCTTCCAGCTCCTCTGCAGCATGTCACTTCCATGGCCCATGGCCGCCCACAGCTCCCCTGGGCAGGATCGAGTTTCCCAACAGCAGGTCCAGGAGCCCTTCCTCCCTCAGCACTCACCCACGCGCCAGCAAGAGAGCTGAGCCTTGTGAATAATTCACGGAGATTCACATCAGGCCCCAGAGGCTCTCGAGAGCATGAAGCTGGGCCTCCTGGGTCCCCTGATTGGGGCCTGTGGCCTGGGGCAGCTCAAGCCTCTGCTCTCCCCAGCTCCCAGCCCACATATTCACAGCCTCAGGGAGTAGGAATCCCTACCCCCAAGGTAGGAGGCTAACTGGGTACACCATCCCCCAACCCCAATTCCCAGCTGCCCCTCCTGCTGGAGCCCAGCCTGGCAACCACACAAAGACACCTTCTTATCAGCTGAGTCACACGCCGCTGTGGGGAACGGAGCCCAAGCCCTCTGTCCACCTTCCTGAGATTCATGGTGACTCCTGCGGGGCTGGCAGCTCATCAGTCCAGGCCATCTGGACTGAGTCGCCATCTGAGTCGCCACCAGTGCCCAATCACACCCAGCACCTGTCATGGCCTGGGAGGGGGCCAGGGTACCCCAGGCACGGAGACCTGGAGGGCGTCCCACAGCACAGCCCGCAGGGAGATCGTTGTATCCTAGACCTGCCTTCTCAGTGAGGAAGGCCCAGGGTGGCGGCCCCACCAGCACTTGCAGAAGGGGGGCTCAGCATCTTCCAGTTCACACTTGGGCCATATTGGTCCTGCTCTCAGGGGGATACCTGTCCCTCTCAAGACCTGTCCCTCTCCTCTGCTTGAAGTGAGGGAGTGGGACAGATGCATCAGAATCACCACTGTGAGGATGGGGACATGTCCCACATGTGGCTCCCAGGCCCCAACCTGGAGAGTCTAACTCAGGAATCTGGGACAGCCTCCAACAGGTGCTGCCAGGAGCCAGTTGGGACCCTCTACTCAGGGGTCCCTGGGGTTCTCCTACTCTAAATCCCGCTGACTTTGACATGATCCAAACCCTAGTTTGTTTGGAAGCAGTGAATTCATACCAAAGCGGCCACCAAGCAGGCCTGGCAGGGCTGGCTGTGCTGTGAAGAGCCCCCTCCCCAGGGTAGCACCTGCTGGGTCTTCCACTAACCAAACCAGGGAGCCCCTTCTTAGGGAGAAGCCAGGCCCAGCTCCCTTGTCCTGGGCTGCGGGGACAACTGGAGCCCGGCCTGGTGGGTCCTAGGGCCACCCTACATCCATGCCAGTGTGCCTGGGCCCAAAAGGCTGCAGGTGTGGCCACTTTGCCACATGGCCATATGGCCAGAACTGGCCTCCAGCCTGCTCCCTGGTGGCCAGGGGCCCTGCAGGCACACCCAGGAACCAGCCAGTGGTGGGGACAGGCCAGACCCTCTTACCTCGTAGCTGCTCTCATTCTGAGGCTGGGTCCACATTCACGTTTATATCCCAGGCTCCCACTTAGACTAACAAGGGTCACTGGTCAGAGCACCCCACTCCCCACTCAGGCTGCTGTGGCATCTGGCACCCCACCCTCTCAGGGCCTGGGTGGCTTTCCCCGGATCCCTGCCTCCCCAGGTGCATCTAAGACCTGAGTCCCTCCCTCCCTCCCCTAGACTGACACATGCCCCCTGTTCTGTATGAGCCCCCACCCCACCCAGGGGAGCTCCCAGCCCACACCCCAGGAGGTTTGGGAGCCCCATGCTTCCCTTGGTAGTGGGAATGGGCTGAGGGGCCGCAGGAGATGACAGGCTGCTCCCTGGATGGCCTCCAGCCAGGGGCTCTGGGGCCAGGAGGTGGGGTGGGGGTCTGGGAGGGGCAGTTCTCCCTTAACTGCTTGGTAACTGATGGGATTCCTCTTCTGCCTGTTTGACTAGTGTCTAGGAGGCGCTCCTGTCCTTGCTGTCCCCCACTGCATTCTGAACAGTCTTGCAAATGAGCACAGCCTGAGCCAGAGAGAACTCCTGCTACTGAAGCAGCCTGAGGGGAACAGGTGACCTTGGCTTGTGTGCCCAGCCTCCCAAGTCCAGCTGCATGCAGCTAGCCGGCTGAGAATGCAGGTGGCACCTGCTTGCAGGGCTCTGGGGGCAGCCCCAGAAGGGGTTTTCCAGGAGGGGAGAAATTTCATGATGAGTGGGAGCCGTCTCTCTGGCCTGGCCGTCTGGCCCCAGGATGGCCGCTGGAGGGATCACTGCCCTGGAGTGCCAGAGAGGCATGGTAGATCCCAGGCATCCCCCAAAGCCGTTCCCAGCCCACCCAGAGGACCCATTAAGAGGGATGATCTTACTCAGGGTAGTGCCCGATGAGAAGCCTCAGGGAGGGGAAGTCTCCTTTGGCGGCAGCGTAGTGGATAGGCAGGGCGCCCATGTCTGTGGCTGCGGTGGGGTCCCCACCGCCATGATGCAGCAGCCAGTTCACCACCTCAGGGTGGCCAAAGCGGGCAGCCAGATGCAAGACTGTGGCACCAGAATTGTCTTTGTCCTGTGGGAGGAGAGCCAGTTCAAGTCCTAAAGGCTGTTCCTGCCCTGCCCCTGGCTTGGGCCACTCCCAGACTCCTACAGGCCTTGGGGGTAGCTCTGTGCTCTCTGCCTTTCCTGGAGAGATTGGCCAGGCCTCACTCAGCAATGTTTTTTTGGGTCAAGCGGATCCTGGGTTTGAATCCTGCTGCTGTCTTTGGGCAATGAACTGGCCCTCTCTGAGCCACAGCCAAAAGGCAGCATCGCCGTGCCTGGCTTTCAGAGGCCGGCAGGTCCTGACTGTGGGCTGCCTATGTGAGAGGCACTGGGTTGTCATGGCAGGACACTGGCTCCAGGCCGAGGGCCACAGCCCTGACACCCAGGGGCTCAGGGCATGGCTGAAGGAGTGACAGAGGGTTGTTGGGCTGAGCAGGGCCAGGAAGGGGGCTGTGGGGCTGCACCAAGCTAGCATTGGGACTGGGGGCAACCCCTGCTTCCAACACTTGCCCCCCTCTCTCCACCTTCCTAGGTGTCACGTGGGAACAGAAGCCTCCACCCTGATGCGCCTCCAGCAACCCAACCTCAGTGCAGAAAACTGCCCCCCTCCCCTGGCAGACTTGCCAGCGCCCACGCACAGGAGCAGCCTGTGTTCTTGCCCTTGTGGAGGTGGAAGTTGCTGGGCACTGGTGGGTGGGTCCAGGGCAGTCAGCCAGGGGTGCTAGGTGCAGGCTAGTGGTGGCCTCTGGGAAGGCTTGGACAAAACTTCCCCCAGGGACCTCAGAGTGGGTGGGGCCAGAGGTCTGGGCCCAGAACTGCTGAATGTGTCATCTGTGCACACCCCATGTGTGTATCTGCTGAGAAAGGGGCTGGAGGGGAGTGCTTATGGGACCTGGGCCGGGAGGAGAATCACGGAGGACCCAGATATCTAGACACAGAGGCTGCTGCACTTGGCCGAGTGGGCACTAGTTCTGGAACGGAACGACCTCCCAGCGCCACGCACATGGACAACAGAGGGGTGGGCAGGGTTGCGGTAGAAGGAGGCAGTGGGCACACTTCACTAGGGTCAGGGAGTGAAGCCTCTCTGCCCTGCCATGCCCAGAGAGAGGGCACTGTGGTCACAGAGTAGCAGAGACAGCAGGAGCTGGCGAGAGACCCCAGGCCTCAGGAAGCTGAATCACGTGGGAAGAGAAACTCTGAGGCTCCTGTGAGACATGCAAGGAAAGAGGGCACGGAGGGAGCTGAGGCCCCGGGCCACTGACAGGGTCATCAGGCAGCCTGCAGGGCGGGGCAACAGCCTGGTGATCCTGCTCAGGAGGCAGGGAGGAAGACAGGGCAGAGAATGTGATGGCCCATAGGAAGCTGAGGACACTGAGGCCCCTCCTGTGTGCTAGAAAGCCGGTGGTGGGGGACCAGAGTGATTCCCAGTTCTGATCTTGGGCTCTGAGCCCAAAGGTCGGAGCTCGCTAGAGGGGACCCAGGCAGAACCATGGTGAAATGTGACCTGAGCCCCAGCTCTTGAGAAAGGCACTCCGTTTCTACTGGCCTTGGGGACTGAGGGTCTGAGGCTCCAAGGGTCTCACTGGCTTTGGGCCCCTCAGTGGTGGAAACGGTAAGGAGAGGGCCATAGGCCTCTGGGCTCTGGCCTGTCCCTGAGGCAGCAACAGCTGTCCAGGCCCCAGCAGCCTCATGTGCAGTGGACCACACCCTAAAGCAGCTTATCTCTCTGGGCTGGGGAAGCCCAAGGATCCAGGTCATCCCTCCCACCCCTTCCTCCCCCAGCACCCAAGCCTGCCTGGCCCAGAGGGCAGGAGACTTGATAAGCTGGGGCCAAGGCCACCTGCTTTGCCCAGCTCCTCTGCTCTGGCAAGGGAGGCTTCCGGCCAGGCCTGGACACCGGATAAGGCAGGCATGACACCTCCCAAAAGAGTGGGCATGGGCCACGTAGCCAGGAAGCCCTGAAAACAGGTCCCATGGAGAGATATGGGGTGGGCCATCTCCCAGGAAGGGTAGGGGGCCTTCTATCTGAGGGCAGAAGGTGGGCTGGCCTGGCCATTGTCGGGCCATAGCAAGCCTGCCTCCTCCCCTTCCATCTCCAGGGAGCCCAGTGGTCTAAGTGGAAAATCAGCTCCAGTTCCTCCCTCCCATGGCTGTCCCCACAAGCAGAATTTCATCCAAATCCCTAACCTTGGCCTAGGAGACCCTCTGGCCTGGCCCTGGCAGCTTCTCCCCTCCTCACCCACTCAATACTCGGCCTCCTGCTGGCCCTCTGACAGGACAGGAGTGTGCGCGCCTCAGGGCTCTGCACTTCTCGTTCCCTGTGCTTGGAACTCTCTGACCCTCGCCTGGCTACCTGCTTCTCAGCAGCCAGGATGCCCCTGGGAGATCACTGCTCAGAGGGACCAAGTGGGGTCTGGGGACAGCAAGAATCAGCCTGGGCTGGAGAAGCACCTGACAGCTGGGAGCCTTGACAGCACGGATGTCCTGGGGCCAGCCTGGGTTATGCGGAGACCCCCATTTACTACGGCCCATCGTCATTCCCCCACACACTGGCTGGGGACACCTGTAGCTCAGCCTGGGCTGTGGGACTTTGCCCAGCCTCCTTTCAGACCCGGCCCTGGAGGACATGGGCTTCTGACTCTGCCGCCCAGGCCTCACGTCCCCACCCACTCCCAGGACTTCAGATCAGTGCCTTCCCTCTCCTGGTAACCACTAGTAACTACCCGCCCCACGGAGGCGGCAGCCTTCTGGCTCCCATCACCCAGGTGTGCTTCCAGGGAGCCCCCAGGCTCGCCAGGGCATCTGCCCGAGTACTTGCAAGCTAGGGAGCCCACTCACCTGAGGGCCTCTGGAAGGAGCTCCGTGCAGGGCTCAGCTGGGCCAGGAGGTGCCAAACCCCACCCATCCCTTGAGCCCCGGCGTGGGGGCTCTGGGCCAGGACTGTCTCCTGAGGAGGAAACCACAGGACCCCCGGCGAACGGCGCGGACCCACCTGCACTCTGCAGCCTCCCTGAGACAGCAGCCACTGCAAGCAGGCGAGGTGGCCGGTGGCGGCGGCGTCGTGGGCCGGGGTGGCGCCGTTGCGGGCGCGGGCCGCGGCGGGGAGGGCGGCCTCCTCCACCAGGAAGCGCAGACAGTGCAGCTTCCCGGCGCGGGCCGCGTGGTGCACGGGCAGCGCGTCCAGCGGGTCGCGCAGCGAGGGCCCCAGCAGGCCGGCGGCGTGTAGCGACCGCAGCACGTCCAGCTCGCCCTGCCGCGCCGCCTGCAGCGCCTGTTCCAGGGCCATGGTGCCGCCTGCGGCGCCGCGACCCCGCACTCAGAGCCTCCCCCAGGAAGCCATGCGCGTGTCCTCGCGGACGGGAGGAGCCCGCGGTGCGGCCGTCGGGGCTCTGCGCGCCGGGAGGCGGGGCGGCTGTGGGCCCGGCCTCTGCTCGGGACTGCCTGGCGCTTCGCTCCGCTCTGCCGCGCTCTGGGGCCGGAGCCGGACGACGTCGGCTTAAGCCTCGGGCCCGCCCCCGCCCCGCCGCGCCCCGCCCCGCAGCCTCAGCCAGAGTTCCCCGCCCTCCCCCGCCGCTCCGCGGGGGCACTCGGGCGACGGGGGCACTCGGGCGACGGGGGCACTCGGGCGACGGGGGCACTCGGGCGACGGGGGCACTCGGGCGACGGGGGCAGGGCGCCCAGGGGCTTCTCTCCTAATTTGTCTCACGTAACAGCTGAGACCCCAGAGGGTAGCAGAACTGGGTTCAAATTGGAGAGCCGTCCAGGCACAAATTCATTCACCTGCCCAGTGTCCGCTCACTGCGGTTCCAGGCGCTGGCGACGCAATTCCAGAGGTGACTGGGGAGTGACCATCGGAGCCACGTGGGCGGTCAGGGAAAGGTCTCTGTGGAGGTGCGGTGGGGCTGGGTGTGGAGCGCGAGGCCCTGAGGCAGGAGCAGGCCTACCGCGTCCCTGAGGGGCTCTGGGTCTAAATCTCTGGAGAGTGCAAAGGGCCTCAGAGCTTCCAGCGGGGAGGGCAGGACAGGAACCCCTGGTGCGTTGGGAACTCCGTCTAGACGCCGCGGCCTCAGGCCGCCCACAGCCGCTGTCAGGGTGGAGGGACTTCCAGGCACACAGAAGGCAGGGATTGGGGGGTGGGGGTAGGGCTTGTGTGGACACGCGGGATCGCGGGCATCCAGAGAGAGGGGACAGAGACCCCTGCAGGGGCGCAGGAAAGCGCCAGAGGGCGCAGGCTGGAGAGCGAATATGTGCCAAGCCACCCTGCGGGCACCACCGAACACAAGCCGTGGGAGCGGCTAGTGCCCGAAGGATGGGAGGAAAAGCTTCCAGAAGGTGGAGGCTAAGTAGCTGTGGGAGTGCAGGCTGCCTGTCAGCGACCTTGAAGCACCCTTCCTGTGCCCTTCCTGTCCCAACACCCACCCTTCTGAGTCCCGTGGGGGCGTGGCCCCACCCCGCCTGAAGGTTTCACTCGGCACCAACCCGGGTCTGGCACAGTCAGCGCTGAGATGTAGAATGAAGGAAGCCCCTTCCAGGGACAGTGGGAGTCATAGTGCTAAACTCGGAGGTGCCTACGGTCCCTTCCCTGGGACTGCCACCTAGTGGCAACCTGGGTGGTGGCCTCTCATCCTCCCAGGTGCCCGGGTAACTGGAGCTGCTGGGCCGTGCCTAGCCAGGTGGGTTTCCAACGACTTCCATCCGGCCAGATCACCCTCATTCTCTCCATGGGACCTGTGGCCACTGGGATCTGGGACCCTTGCCCAGCGGTTTGCAGACAAAAGGAGGGAGGAGTCTTTTCCTGGCAGTCTCACTGCTGGAGCTGGTGGTGGCCAGAGCAACAGGTTCACTGCGGCTGGCGCTGCCCTCCTCCAGGTGTCCAGAGGCACGTGTACCATGAGGCCAGCAAGTAGCAGGGGTACTGTCAGAAGGAGGTGCTAAAATGGCTTGTCTTGGGCACCCCTTCCCTGTGCCTCCTCCATTCTAAAAGGCCCTGCAATTCGTGTCCTCCACGCCTAAGGTGGCCACCTTGGCCGTGGATACGCTCATCCAGCACGTGGTTTTGTGATTCTGTGGGCCAGGTCCAGGTGATGCTCTAATGCTCTTCCAGTGGGCTGGGCAGATGCCCCTGAGCCACTGCCATTGTTGCTATTGACATCTCCATTAGTGCCATGTGTGAGCACCCACCCCTGCTGGCCAACCTCTTCAACTCCTTTCAGGACATGGCTCAAACTCAGGCTTCAAGCCAGGCCTTTCCTGCCAGGCTTCTATCCTTTCTGGGCTCTCCCACATCCATCGGGCTATCTGGGTCCTCCCCAGCAGCTCTAGGGAGCTCACACCAGTAGTCGCACTTTTATGAAATCTGTACCACCCACCAAACGCTCACCATGCTTCACCTGGATATCCAATCCAGAGGTGCTATGGGAGAGGTACAACTGTTGTTCTCAGTTTACAGCTGGGGAAAATGAGGCATGGGGAGGGTTTTTTTTTTTGTTTTTTGTTTTTTGTTTTTTGAGATGGAGTTTCCCTCTTGTTGCCCAGCCTGGATTGCAATGGCACAATCTCAGCTCAGGGCAAACTTTGCCTCCCAGGTTCCAGCAATTCTCCTGCCTCAACCTCCCGAGTAGCTGGGATTACAGGTGCCTGCCACCATGCCTGGCTAATTTTTGTGTTTTTTTTGTGTGTGTGTATTTTTAGTAGAGATGGGGTTTCATCATGTTGGCCAGGCTAGACTTGAACTCCTGACCTCGTGATCTGCCCACCTCAGCCTCCCAAAGTGTTGAGATTACAGGCATAAGCCACCAAACCCAACTTTGTTTTTTTGAGACAGAGTCTCACTCTGTCACCAGGCTGGAGTGCAGTGGCGTGATCTTGGCTACAGGTTCATGCCACCACGCCCAGCTGATTTTTGTATTTTTAGTAGAGACAGGTTTTCACCATGTTGACCAGGATAGTCTCGATCTCTTGACCTCATGATCCGCGGGCCTTGGCATTCCAAAGTGTTGGGATTACAGCCGTGAGTCACCATATCCGGCCTTGTTTTGTTTTTAAAGCATTTTGTGGCTGGCTTGTGGGTGCAGAACTGAGTGAGCCAGGCTAGGTGCCTTGGGCTGAGGATGGGAGGGAAAAGGTCCACAGAGTCTTTTGAGCCCTTAAAGAACAAGTCATTGTCTTGGGGGAGGCCAATGGAGGCAAACTGGCCTCAACCATGGAGGACAAGGTCTCAGGTTCCTCCAGTCCCTGCTGGGCCAAATGTGTTGAATGAGTTATTCTCACTTGTTAGAACTTTTATGAGGGTTAATGCAGATGCGAGCCTTAAAGTGTTAGGCCCTGAACTTGGCACACAGTAAGTGTCCATGAATGGTGGCCTAAGCTCCTTCTCATACCACAGACAGCTATGGGTGACCCGGGCTCCCCTGGCCCAGGTTTCTCCGGGCCCCTTAGTGTGTACCTTGGTTTTCTTCTGCCCTGCTGGGAGAACCCTGAGGGAGGGGGACCTGGGACCAGCTGCAGGGGTGGAGCTCGGAAGTGGGGTTCGGGGGTTCATCCAGCACCCTGGACAGAGCCCGTCTTGACTCCGCCCCATGGGGCCTCCTCCGGGCTGGCTCGGTGGATCTGGCCAGTCATCACTCTGCCCAGCAGTTCGCAGTGTGGTCCGCGGGCGTGGCCGTTGCCCAGCCAGCCCCTCGGGAGAGGGGAGCCCAGAGCAGATGGGCGGGGGACGCCAGCCAGTTTGCCTCAGCAACGGCCACGCGGCGCGGAGGCGGTCCTGGGCGGGCCGCTGGGGCCCCCCCACCAGGCGGGCAGCTGGGGGCCCGCACCCACGACTGCCCGGCCCGCGCGTCATGTGAGCCCTGACTGTCCTGCGGGCGAGAACCCGGATCCCCAGCCGGTGGGAATGAAAACGGGCTCCGAGGGCACCCGGGCTGCCTCTGCTTCTGTGGGATTCCGTTTCCCCACCCAAAGCCTGGAGTGGGGTAACCAGATGACCCCTCGGCAAGCCGCTGGAGGATTCTACAGGATCCTTAGAGCCGGGCGTCTAGCGACTGGTGCCCTTGTCCTGGCTCGGCCGGTTCCCAGCGTCAAGGGCTGGAGCAAGTCACGACTTCTCTCCGGACCTCGGATTCCCAGTCCAGCTCAGCCCTTCCGCCGATAGAGCAGCTGTGGGTGGGGGTCCCTCCTGCTACTGTCCTTCGTGGGAGCTCCCGGAACCGCGGGCCTTGGCAGTCCTGCAGCCGCTGGGTCCCCTGCCCCGGCCCAGGGCGGGGCTCAGAGGAGACGCTGAACCAAGTCTGGGGAATGAATGAGGAGCTGTATTGGAGAGGAGGGACCGCAGCTCGAGCCAGGCAAAGCCTGGCCCCACCTGGCCCTCCTGCCCTCGGGGTCACGCAGTGACCGCCCCCGATGACGCCCTAGCCACTCCCCCGCAGGTGCTCGGGGACAGCCGGGGGCCGCCACCCCGCTGTAGATGGGACGCGAAGGACTGGAGCGGGATCCCCGGGGGCGTCGCTGTCTCCCCTCCCGGCTCCACCCCGCGCAGGAACAAAGGCGGGGGGTGGGACCGGCGGGCGGCAGGACTCCATGGGGCGGGTCGGGGCGGGCGAGCCGCTCCCTTAAAGTTCCGCTGCTGGCGCGGCGCGCACTCTTCTGGCACCAGCTCGGGCCGCGCTCGGGACCTCCTTCCGGATCTCGGTTTCCCTTTGCGTGGGGCTCGCAGCTGCCGCCGCTTTCCCGCGGAGCATGGGGCTGCCTCGCCGGGCAGGGGACGCGGCGGAGCTGCGCAAGGTGGGAACCCGGGACTGGGGCAGGGCGGGGGACACGGGGGACCCGTCTAATCACCACGCCGCACGCCCGCAGAGCCTGAAGCCGCTGCTGGAGAAGCGCCGGCGCGCGCGCATCAACCAGAGCCTGAGCCAGCTCAAGGGGCTCATCCTGCCGCTGCTGGGCCGGGAGGTGAGCGCGCCCCGGCGGAGGGCAGCGGGCTGAGGGCGGAGGGTCCTGGGGCGCGGAGCCCGAGCAGGGGGACCGGGTGCTTCTGCGGGAGGAACCCGCTGGGGGTTTCCTCGCGGCGCCCGAGGCGGAGTCTGGGTGGGGTGGACGCGCCGGAGCGGACCCTCCGCAGGCCACGGCGCGCCCCGCACCCAGCTCCCAACGAGTGCGCGGTGCGCACTGCAGCTGGCCAGATGTCTGTCTTGGTGGTTCTCTGTCCCTCTCCCTCGTGGCCGGGCGCAGAACTCCAGCTACTCGAAGCTGGAGAAGGCGGACGTCCTGGAAATGACCGTGCGCTTCCTG